AACAAATCCTACCATTTGCAACAACACGGATGGTGCTAGAGGGTATTATGCTCAGTGAAATGAGCCAGGCGGAGAAAGACAAGTATCAAATGATTTCACTCATATGTGGAGTATAAGAACAAAGAAAAAACTGAAGGAGCAAAACAGCAGCAGACTCACAGAACCCAAGAATGGACTAACAGTTATCAAAGGGAAAGGTTCTGGGAGGATGGGTGGGAAGGGAGGGATAAGGGGGGGAAGGGGCATTATGATTAGCAGACTTAATGTAGCAGGTGGGGGGCACAGAGAGGGCTGTACAACACAGAGAAGACAAGTAGTAATTCTACAGCATCTTACTACACTGATGGACAATGACTGTAATGGGGTATGTTGGGGGGGGACTTGATGATGGGGGGAGTCTAGTAACCATAATGTCACTCATGTAATTGTAGATTAATGACACCAAAAAAACAAAAAATTTAGTACAACAGACTTTCAAAAACCATATAGTATCGAAATATGCAAACATCCAAATAAAAATAATTAACAGAGTAAAATGTCTAGAAGGGGGATATAGGAACTTAAAACACAGAAAGTAACCACCTTATCTAATCTTCTAATGTTACATGCAGACTATGGTCTTACAATCCAGAAAATGAACAGTGATGAACAAAGAGGAAGTGAAAAAGGAAAAGGCCTGTCCACAATAATCAAGATAAAAATGAAAGCTACAAGCTAAATAGTTCAAATCATCCACAACACAGAGATCACTGTTTATTTTCTTAAATTAAAAACCAAAAGTTACCTGTAATATCTCTGCTAAGTCTTCGTTCCCATTGTCTATAGAAATGTCAAATGCAGTTTTACAAAATTTACTTTGTGTGTGTACATCAGCACCATATTTAATTAAAAGTTCCACCACCTCTTGATGATTATGTTCTGTGGCCCAATGTAGAGCTGTCATCTTTAACATGTCCTTTGCATTGACATCAGCACCATGCTACAAAAATATTTCAAAATAAGAGATTTCAGAAATATGAAATACAAAGAATTGCGGATATGAAAATATCGCTGTTACGAAGCAAGAATTTACTATTAACATGATCAACTCTTAATTTTTTTGTGTTGAATAATCTATATGTTCTAAGAATCATCATGCATCTGTCAGTTCATCAGTTTTCTATCGTGCTGACTTGCCTAATTACTTTCTAATGTCTTAGGAGTGCAGCAATTATTTTTTTCAGTCACCCAGCTACAGTGAACATGAAGCTACAATGAGCATGAGCATCCATAAGAAGTGAAGGAAAACTATGAGGATTCCTCCAAAAACTCCTTAATTCTAGATCCTTATTTACACAAAAATGTCCTTTGTATTCAAAAGCAGTGCAATATAACTAAGTAAAAGCGATCTATCAAAGGTATACTCTCCAATATTGTAGCCACTAGGCACATGTGGCTATTAAGCACTTGAAATATGACTAGTTGGAATAGAGACATGCTGTATGTATAAATACAAACTGGAATTCCAAGACTTAACACCAAAAAAGGAAGTAAAATATCTCAATAATTTTTATATTGATTTCATGTTGAAATGGTATTTTGTATATACTGGTTAAATAAGATATATTAAAATTAATTAATACTTTTTTAAATGTAGCTATTAGATAATCTAGAATTACATGTGAGTCACATTTGTGATTTACACTGTAGTTCTTTTAAACAGGCTGCTTTTAAAAGCTAGAATAAAAAGGAATAAGAATGACTAAATCTATCACTCTGTTTCAGAATTTTCTCCTTGACATTTAGATAATTAAAGAAAAACCCCTGTTCCTGTTAATATTATCTGTTAGTTAATATTCCCTTCCAAGAGCATTTTAACTGTGTTGAGTAAGTCAAAGCTGTAGTACTGCACCACAGGGGAGACCAAAGTCTAAGAAATCAATTGTTTTTACTGAACTAAAAGAACATACCTAGAGAAAGTTTTTTCCCCCTAACAAAGGAAATCTTAATTTTCATTTAATGGACTTAAATACAAAAAATGAGATAACATAGGGAAAAAAGTAGACATTCAATAAAATTACTTCTCCTCTCCCTGTTCTTTGGGGACTTACGTTAAAAACAAAATGCAAAAAGAGAAATATACCTTAAGCAAAACCTCTACTATGCTGGCATGGCCTTCAGAAGCTGCCATGTGTAATGGCGTTCGGTCCACCTTGGTTCTTGCATCCCGACTTACACCAGCTCGGAGCAGTACTTCTGTGGTGGAATAATGCCCGTATTGTGCCGCCAAGTGAAGGGGAGAGGTTCCCAGCTATAATGCAAGAAAAAAATCCACATTTATAGTCACTTGTAATACACTTCCACTACTACCTCATATTTTACATTATCTGCTTACAGAGCAAAGAGATTATATCATCTGTTTATACAGTAGCTCAAAACGCAAAAGAAAAAATTTATTCTTATCATATTCTCTTCATAGAGGCCTTCAAGAATTCCCATATACTTCTCAGTGAGGAAAAAAGCCAGTATTACATTTAATTCAAACTTGCTTTCTTCATTTTGTTTATCCTACACAAAATTAATTTCAGCAGGAATTAGAGATAATTAGGGTTTGGAAATTTTTCTGAGTACTGGGATGTTCTCCTCATACCAACCACACAAAACTTTTCATATATGATATTCCTATCAAGAACACATAATGGTGTATGTACATTTTTACATTAAACTGTTTTATGGGACTTCAGAAATAAACTAAAACACCTCAGGGTTCTTTTTAAAGGAGATCATATAGTCATTTTCTTAGGAGGAAATTTTTATCTGAGTTATACTTACCAAAGGTAAGTCAGGACAGAACCATAACAGAGCCCAGTTCTGAAATTGGTTCCACGTGGTTGAGGAGCTACATTAATGCTACAATCATAATATACAATGGAAGTACTAAAATGTGAGTGAAGAGCCTTATTAGAAGCATAACTTTTAACAGGTGAAAATTAGAATAAAGTTACATCACATGCATTTAGAGGCACATTAAGTCCCTACAATTCTCTGATTACCAAGGCACTAACGTTCCAAAGAACCAATATAGTTCAGTAGAATACGAAATTTGCTAAGACCACTACTGTACTAATAGCAAGAAAGGTTTTTGTGCAAGCACTTTCCATGGCAAGCACTAATCTAAGACTTTTACACATATTATCTCAATCTCCTCATAACACAGGTACCACCACTACTACCCTCCTTTGCCACAGAAGGGTTACTAATTTGCCTGAAGTCACACAAGTAAGAATTAATGCAAAGCTAGGCATGTGCTCTCAATACATGGTAAAAATGGAAGCCATTTATCCTGGGAATAATTATTTTATTACTATTAAAAGCCTTGTATTTTTAAGGGAGGGTCATTCTAGCAGATCAAAGATTCTCAAACAATTCTTTCTCTCTCCAGGCTTTATCATGTTTTCCTGCAATTGGCCCTTTGTATACTCTTAAATTCTAATATTTAATAAAGTATCTCAACAGTCCATTTAACAGTCATGAGTTATGCACTATTTGGGTTTACTTTATATTTTTTTCTTCTTCAGACCTTACCTTTGTTGTTTGATGTCTAGATATTTTTGTCTAAAGAAAAAAAATAAGGCAAACACTTGTAAAACCACCACCACAGTCTAGATATACAATTCAAAATCTTCCCACATGTCACTCCCTAATTACAAACCCTTACCTCAGCCCCAGAGGTACTTACTACTTTAAATTTATAATAAGCACTGCTTTACTTTGCTTTGTTTTCTGTTTCTCATTTATAAATAATATACTTTAGTTTTGCCTTTTTTGAACTTTATTTAAATAGAATCATACTGCATATATTTCTCTGTGACTTGCCTTCTTTTGCTTAGCAATGTATTCGTAAGATTCACCCATTTTGGCAAGTGTAATCATAGATATAGTTCACTAATTTTCTCTATCCTATAATAGTCTACTGAATTAATACATCACAATTCATTTAACTAATTTATTGATGAACATTTGGGTTGTTTGTAAAACAGAACCTATGTATGAATAACACTGCAGCTAAAAACAGTCTTGTACACATCTCATGCACATGAACAAAAGTTCTTCTTGGGCATATTTTTACAAGTTCAATGGCTATATCATAGGATATGCACATACTCAAATTTACCAGGTACTGCCAAACTGTCCCCTAAAATGTTTACATCAATTAAGCATCTCTTCACCAATGCTTGGTACTATCAGACTTTTTTCTTTTCAACTAATCTGGTGGATAGGCAATAGTATTTCATAATTTTACTTTGCATTTGCCCACTTATTAATGTAGTTGAGCACCTTTTCATGTTTATTGGTCATTTGAACCTTTTCTCTGCTAAAGTACCATGTAAGTCATTTGCCCAGTCATCTTTGTCTTGTTTGTCTTTTTATTACTCTCATGGGAATTCTTTATATATTATGGATACCAATCCTTAAGATCCTTTTGTCTTGATGTACAATATCATTACGATGTGTCTGGATATGGACATTTTTATTGATCCTGCTGGAGATTTATTGTACTTGAATCTGTGAGCTGCCACCTTTCATTAGTTGTGAAAAAATCTCAGCCATTATCTCTTAAAATAATTTCATCTCTATTCTCATTTTCCTTGTGGATTTATGATTAGATGTTAGACCTCCTCGCACTAGCCTTCACGACTTCTGACATCTCTTAAATTTTCTAACAATTTTTCTCCGTGCTGCATTCTAGATGATTTTTTTCATAGCTTTCAGCTATTCCTAACCTGCTATGAAAATCTTATCTAAAGTCCTCGTTGGTCTGTTTCTGTTGTCAGTTGTTTTGTGGGTTATTATCCAAGTTGTCCTGTGTCCTTGAGGGTTTAGGGTTTTTTGTTCAGTTTCCTTGGAATTTCATTTGTGTATATGAAATCTGGGAATGAAGGCAGGTTCCTGCAGAAAGGATATTCATTTGCCTCTGCCAGGAACCGAGGGTAACCTCTAGTCTACAGATCATTTTAAATTCATTTTTCGTTGTACAGAGTTTTGCAGAATGCACAAGTATTTATGTGTTCAGGGCACAAATATGTGCAAGGAATGGCTTGGGCCCTAATCTCATCAACAAACTTTTTCCTCTCTCTATTTGGTGACTTGGTTCAAATCAGTTCATTTTCCCTGCAGTACACTAACAACAGGAGCAGGAGCAGAGAGGAGGAGGGTGGGGTTATTTCTAGTTTATCCTTACACCGAAGGTACATCTCTTTGGGATTCCAGAATTATGGGGAGAGGATCTTCTGGGAGATTTCTCTTTATGAGCAGTCTCAGGTCTTTGTCTTCAGTAATCCATGCCAGGGAGGTGGGGAAACCAACAAGCAAACTTACTGAGTTCAGCAAATATTCTCAGGGTGAAATTTCTCTGGGTTCATTTAAGTTTTTCAATTTGATAATCCCTTTCTTTCTACCTCATCAGAATTTTTTTTAATGTTTAATTAAAAAATCTTTATTTTGTATAAACAGATGCTGAAATATTTATGAAATGAAATGGTTCCTAGAATTTGCTTTAAAATAATACATAACAAAAAAATGGTTGGGGTTATAAAAAAACAAGATTTGATCATCTTTGGAGTTGAATGAGGATATGCAGGGGTTGATACATGTTTGAAATTTTCCATAATAAAAAAATTTATTTTGTTTTGTTTTTAATAAAAAGTAAAAAAGAACACAGGGCATGTAAGCCAAACAACAAAATTAAAATCTGAAATTTTTAGTTGTTAACCAGTTGGGAGGGTTAAGTCAGATGCCTAATCCTCCCAAGACCGTCTCTTTTCATTTGCCCGCAGAATTAAATAGAGTTACAGTTTTTGTCTTCCCCACAGTAGCCTTCTGTAGTCACTAAAAACTTGTTCCCATTCCTTTCTTTCTCTTTGGTCACCTTTGCAATAGTTATACAAGTATAAATTAAAATGCAAACTTTTTTTTCAGAAATAATTGCAACATTAACCCCAATCTTACTTGTCATTTTCTGAATTATAATTTCTACCTAGTACCTTGAATTCAAGATATCTGAAAAGACCTTTCAGCTAAATGCCAAACAACTACATTTTACATTTATTCTATTATATTGAACTCCATAGTTTAAAAGAAAAACCTTTTGTAGACAGAATATTTGGATAAACATGTCCAATATAAAAAAAAAAGAAACATTCCCTTTAAAAGAGGATGATAATTCTAAAATTGCAAAAAAATTGCCAAAAAAATTTAATTTTTTACCACTTATAAACATAATACTGAATAAATTTTTATATGGAAAAATGAGAAGAAAGAAAAAAGCACCCACAATATTAAAATCATTCTTTACCCAGTCTGTAGTAAAAGGAGCTCCATTTGCCATCAAAATACGAACTTCATCATCTTGACCTGCTCGTGCTGCTTCTAAAAGCTTCTTCCCCAAATCTACCAGGGACATCTAAACAAAACATAGGTAAGTATGACACCTCCATTTACATGTTATGAAATGACTTTTCCCCCCTTCGATCTTTATTAATAAGTCAATTCTCAATTATTCCTTCAAAAGATTGTAATATGGTTAATCTGAAACTCTAAATCACACAAAAAGCATTTATATTTGAATTTTGGGAACAGATTTTCCTTTCTCATCAAGTTTTAACTGAGGAAAAAAAAATTAGTTTGAATTCTCCAAAATATACCTGCTATAAGATAGAAGAGGGAAGTGGCAAAGAAATCTTATCTAAAATTTAAAACTGGCAAAGAATTGTTTTCATTGGAGAAATTAAAGCATAAAGTTTTCACAAAAGTAAATAGAAATAAGGCAAGATACTGTCCTCTGTAACTGGTGCAAATTATATAAATCTACCATAACTTTTTTTTGCAACGGTTACTGGGTTCAGAATTTTAAAATAAGTATTTTTAACCCTTGTATAGGTAATGCACATCTAAGTTCTTCCAGAAAAAGGTACTTATTCAATAAAAATACTGAAAAGACAGTCTTAACAGTATTATTAGTAGAGTATATGTCTCATTAAGAAGCTAGAAAGTTTAAGTATACCTAATACCTTGATTTCAAGATCTGAAAAGACCAGTGTCACAGCCCAGGATATGTGTGTGCATTGTGTATGTCAGTCTGTCTGTCTGTCTTGTTGAATAAGAAATATTGAAATATATGTTAAGGAAAGATCATGACAGGAGTACACAGGTGAAGAAAGATGTGAATTCATCAGAGATGCTCAAAAGCAAGGGATTATAATTCTGAGAAGAAAGTTCCCAAATCCAGAAAGACTATTGAGTTGGAGGACTATTCAATGTTGTTATATAATATCCTGAGGAAAGACAAACAGGTAGAATTTGAGGTCTGTGAGGAAGATATGCAGCCCTTGAGGTTTTCACAAGAAAAAAATGTACCTATTGTATGATCTGCCCCCAAACTGAATACTCTTTGAGGGTTGGGTAACTAGTCAAAAGGAAATAAGTTATGAGGGGAATGTTATGTTGATTAGTGTATGCCAATCTTGTAATGAACAGGTATTACTCAAGGAAGAGGGGAGAGGAGTACATGTATGAGAAGGAAGTTGACAGAGCTCAGAGAGGTTATTTAGGCCAGGGAGGAATAGAATGCATTATACAATTAGAAGAGATGTTAGGGACTCTAAAAGGGTTGATTAAAAGAAAAATGTCCCTGAAAGAACAGAGACTTATGCTTAAATTACTGTATTTCTTAGTAGATTCCATAACATGGCAACAACCAAACACAGAGTAACAAGAGACAGATGCTAATACTGGAAGGCCTGCACAATGATTAGTGAGATGTGTTACATCCAAAACTGGCATTTGTCACAAGCAGGGAAGAATTTCTTATAGTTGTTCTATTTTTAAGGATAAAATGATTTGTAATATATCCTATGGTGAAGAAGAAATGCACGCAGGTTTTATGTGTTTTTATGTGCTTTTTTTTAACATGCTTTTGTGTGACACTTGGCAACATTTTCAACCCTTGAATTTCTGATTTCCTTTCCCTTTCCCCCCCCCCATTCTTTATATCCTGTGGAGTCACTGGAACCCAAGATACTGCTTAATCCTGCTAAAGGCATTAAATCTAGAGTTTACTGGTCTCTAATGAAGGATTTTTCCTTGGGAATATGTACCAGCTGGGTAGAAAAATTAACATCATATTCAATAGGCAAAGAACCTCCAATAATAATTTCCTACTAAAGGAAGGGTAAGGCAAAAAAAGCTGATTTCTCTTTCACAGAAGTATCGTAAAATTTAAGCTGGACACATTAACAAATATAGTGTCTAATATGGATAACCAAAATGTAATATAAGTATCATTTTATAATGAGATAAATCTTTCCCCAAAACATGCATTTTACAATATGTCTTATGCAGGTAATATAAAATCACTTTGCATTCATTCAGCCCACAAACTGCCAGATGGTTTAGACATCTGGATATCTTTTATGAAGTGGTGGTTAAGGTCTATCTGTCATTTTCAGAAATTGGGTTGTCTGCCTTTATCTTAATTCTTATATACATTAAGGATATGAGTTCTTTGTCAGATACAATATGTATTATAAAGATCTCTTTCCAGGACCCCCAACACTAGACTCTATCCCATGTTGTTTCTTATTATCGCACACTATCTCCATAGGTAGATAGTAAGTGTTGGGTCTCATAAAAAATATGAAACATGTGTATGAAAAAATAAAGTAAAATAAAATAAAACCAAAAACAGCAAAGTAATGTTTGCCACACAAATGAATGTAAGAAACATTAATATTTTAATTATTTGAAAGATCTGATTCAAAATGAAGGGAAAAAATAAAACCACCAAGACTGTGGGAGAGATTAAAGATGGTGGCATGTGAGGTGAGAAAGAGGCCTCCTCCCAAAACCACGTATAATACGAAAATATAATTAATACAACTGATCCTGAAAGAGCAACAGCAAAGAAGGCTGACCCAGACCACATACACCTGGAGAAAAGAACAGACCTCATGGAACAGGGTAACGTACCAAAGCTGTGAAGGGCAGGACCCAAGCCCCTCCCCCACCACAGCTCACTGGTGGAAGAGAAACAGAGCGGAGAAGGAGTGTAGGCCTGGGACTGCTGAAAACCTAGCCATGGAGATCTTCTGGGAGCATGAACCTACATTGCATGGTGCTCTGGTGATTAGTGGGGTTGGAAAGATAAGACAGGAGGAATACCTGGAAAGACTGAGACTCCAGCTGCTTGTGGAAAGCAGGGATCCATATCCAGCTGCTCTGGGACAAAAGAAAGGCAAACAGTCTGAGAGACTTCCTAATAGCAAGAGGGCTGCTAAAGGGGCAAGGATTGCATGGACCTTACGGCTCAGGAGAAAGTACAGGTAGACAAAATTGTCCAGGCTCACTCTGCCCAGCAGGCTGGGAACTTTCAGGAGATTCAGGTGCTCCATTCCACTGGCTGGCTACCCAGTTCAAAGGCACCCCACTATGATGCGCCTTCCTCCTGGCCAGCCTGCACCTGGTTCGCAAACTGGCACCCTCTGCCCTGGCATCACACCAGCCAGAGGAAGCCAGAACTAAGGCAGCTACAAAAACAAAGCATTGGTTGTTCTTAGTCTTTTGGATGTTGGCCATCCAAACTGGTGTGAGGTGGTATCTCATTGTGCTTTTAATTTGCATTTCCCTGATAATTAGTGATGTGGAACATCTTTTCATGCATCTGTTGGCCATCTGAATTTCCTCTTTGGAGAAATGTCTGTTCATATCCTCTGCCCATTTTTTAATCAGGTTATTTACTTTTTGAATGTTAAGGCATGTGAGTTCTTTATATATTTTGGATGTTAACCCCTTGTCGAGTATGTCATTTACAAATACATTCTCCCATACTGTAGGATTCCTTTTTGTTCTGCTGATGGTGTCCTTTGCTGTACAGAAGCTTTTTAGCTTGATGTAGTCCCATGTGTTCATTTTTGCTTTTGTTTGCCTTGCCCGAGGAGATGCATTCAGTGAAAAGTTGCTCATGTTTATATTAAAGAGACTTTTGCCCATGTGGTCTTCTAAGAGTTTTATGGTTTGACGACTTACATTCAGGTCTTTGATCCATTTCGAGTTTACTTTTGTGTGCGAAGTTAGACGATAATCCAGTTTCATTCTCTTGCATGTAGCTGTCCAGTTTTGCCAACACTGGTTGTTGAAAAGGCAGTCATTTCCCCACTGTATGTCCATGGCTCCTTTATTGTATATTAATTGGCCATATATGCTTGGGTTTGTATCTGGCCATTCTAGTCTGTTCCTTTGACTATTGTTCTTTTCTTGTGCCAGTACCAAATTGTCTTGATTACTGTGTCTTTGTAGTAGAGCTTGAAGTCAGGGAGAATAATCCCCCCAGCTTTATTCTTCCTTCTCTGGATTGCTTTGGCTAGTCAGGGTCTTTTGTGGTCCATATGAATTTTAGAGCTATTTGCTCTGGTTTATTGAAGAATACTGTTGGTATTTTGATAGGGATTGCATTGAATCTGTAGATTGCTTTAGGCAGGATGGCCATTTTGACAATATTAATTCTTCCTATCCATGAGCATGGGATGTGTTTCCATTTATTTGTATCTTCTTTAATTTCTCTCAACAGTGTCTTACAGTTTTCAGAGTATAGGTCTTTCACTTCCTTGGTTAGGTTTATTCCTAGGTATTTTATTCTTTTTGATTCAACTGTGAATAGAATTGTTTTCCTGATTTCTCTTTCTGCTAGTTCATCATCATGAGTGTATAGGAATGCAACAGATTTCTGTGTATTAATTTTGTATCCTGCAACTTTGCTGAATTCAGATATTAGTTCTAGTAGTTTTGGAGTGGATTCTTTGTACAATATCATGTCATCTGCAAACAGTGACAGTTTGGCTTCTTTCTTACCAATCTGGATGCCTTTTATTTCTTTGTGTTGTCTGATTGCCATGGCTAGGACCTCCAGTACTATGTTGAATAAAAGCAGGGAGAATGGGCATCCTTGTCTTGTTCCCAGTCTTAGGGGAAAAGCTTTCACCTTCTTGCTGTTAAGTATGATGTTGGCTGTGGGTTTGTCAATATATGACCTTTATTATGCTAAGGTACTTGCCCTCTATACCCATTTTGTTAAGAGTTTTTATCATGAATGGATGTTGAATTTTGTCGAATGCTTTTTCAGCATCTATGGAGATGATCATGTTTTTGTCCTTTCTGTTGATGTGGTGTATGATGTTGATGAATTTTCAAATGTTGTATCATCCTTGTATTCCTGAGAAAAATCCCACTTGATCATGGTGTATGATGCTCTTGATATATTTTTGAATTCGGTTTGCTAATATTTTGTTGAGTATTTTTGCATCTATGTTCATCAGGGACATTGGTCTGTAGTTTTCTTTTTTTGTGGTGTCTTTGCCTGGTTTTGGTATTAGAGTGATGCTGGCCTCATAGAATGAGTTTGGGAGTATT